GTGCTGTGGTGTCACACAGCTCACAGCAACCTCCAGCTCTTGGGCTTAGGCGATTCTCTTGCCTCAGCCTCCTGAGTAGCTAGGACTACAGGTGCCCACCACAATGCCTGGCGATTTCTTTGTTGCAGTTTGGCCAGGGGCCAGGTTTGAAACTGCTACCTTCAGTACAGGGGGCCAGTGCCACTGAGCCGCAGGTGCTGCCCGAGTTATCTTGTTTTAATTGGTTTATCATCTACTAAAATTAGCAACTCACATGCTGTTTTTCCACTTTTTCTACCAATTACTGAGAGAGAGTTAATAAAATCTCCAAATATAATTGTGAACTTTGTATTTCTCTCCTTTTAGTTCTATCAGTTTTTGCTTTAAATATTTTGAAGATCTGTAATCAATGCATAAACATTTAGATTATTGACTTCTTGGTGAGTTGACCCTTTAATATTATACGATGGTCTTCTGACGTCTACCTTGTCTGATATTAAAACAATCTTTAATTATTAGATTAAATAATCTAATTAAATTAAATTGAATCTAATTAAATTATTAGATTAATAATCGTAGCCTTCTGGAGGCGAGGCAGGTGGATTGCCTGATGTCAGGAGTTTAAGACCAGACAGAGCAACAGAGAGACCCTGTCTCTTCTAAAAATAGAAAAACTAGTCAGACGACACAGGCCTGTAGTCCCATCTACTTGAGAGGCTGGACTACAGGCAATTCTCTTGCCTCAGCCTCCAGAGTAGCTGGGACTACAGGCACCCACCACAATGCCTGGCTATTTTTTTTGTTGCAGTTTGGCCAGGGCTGGGTTTGAACCTGTTACCCTCGGTATATGGGGCCAGTGCCCTACCCACTGAGCCATAGGCACTGCCCATTATTTTGTTTTCTTTTAAACTTTATTCAAATTAATATGAGGGTACAATATTTAGGTTACATTGTTCTCACTTCCCAGGGCAAAGTTCCATTTGTAGAAGAGCCCCTCACCTAGGGGTGTGTTATACATCTTCACAATGTGCACATTAGGTGAGATCCCACCTTGTGCCCTCCCTCGTGATGAGGCTTTTAGAACAACTCTTTTTTGTTGAATCTTCTTAGCATGTATGGACAGTTTTTGACCTGTATATTGCATAATTAGGGCTAACCTGTTCTGCTTTTTGAAGCATTTTGTGTAAAAAAGAGGCTTTTTAGATTTCTAAGCAAATTGGTTACAGAGGGGTAACTTGTCAGCCACTGACCCAGGGCCTGGAATTGGTCGCATTTTCAGAGTATAAGGAGGTTAAAGGATATACCTGGGTCCCAGTGTCCCCGATGTCTTGGACTATCATTGTCTTCATGACTTCAGCTCCCTCCATGAGTCCAAAGGGGGATCTGTATAAGAGGGTGAGGCAGGAAGAGGGAAGTTTGGGCCACAAATCTCAGTGTAGAGTGACCTTGTGAACCTGATTGGGCCACATGAAGTGTTAGCATCCCCAGGCTAAGCTGGCTAAAAGCAAGCGGAGTGGTCTTTATGACCTTTTCCCCTTCAAGTTCTACAATCATTATCTTGGCCCTACATAGCTTGCCAGTTGCATACTGAGGGTAGGAGAAGAAAGATGAAACACTCACTGAGGTTAAAAGAGAGCATCTCTCCAAAGCTGAGAGTAGTGCTAGCAAGCTACACATTCCAAGCCTCTAGCCCTGGTTCCCACTGGCTTGCTTTCTTTCTTTTCTTTTTTTCTTTTGAGACAGTCTTACTTCATTGCCATCAGTAGAGTACTATGGTGTCATAGCTCACAGCAACCTCAAACTCTTGGGCTCAAGAGATTTTCTTGTCTCAGCCTCCTGAGTAGCTGGAACTACATGCACCCACTACAACACCCGGCTAATTTTAGAGGTGGGGTCTTGCACTTGCTCAGGCTGGTCTTGAACCCATGAGCTCAGGCAATCCACCCATTTCAGCCTCCCAGAGTGCTAGGATTACAGGCTTGAGCCATCATGCTCGGCTCCACTGGCTTTCTAAGGATAGGGTAAGACTTTCTTCCAAGCTCAATTGGACTGTGGGGCCTCTTATTGCATTGGTGTCATGAGAGAAGAGAAAGCTTGAAGAAGGCAAGGCCATTCTTCAGAGGCATTCAACACTGTCTCCTTTGAGACATCACGTTGGAGGCACCCAAGAATGCCCTGGGATTGACCCTTGAAAAGGAACCAGGAGTGGGAGGGGCAGGCATAAGGCCTTTTGTCCATGTCGAATGAGTAAGGAGTGAGTAAATGAATGAATACTCTTTCTGGATTTCTTTTCTTTTTTTTTTTTTTTTTTTTTTTGAGACGGATCCTCCAGCTATCCCCCTGAGTAGAGTGCCATGGCATCACACTCACAGCAACCTCCAACTCCTGGGCTCAAGCGAGTCTCCTGCCTCAGCCTCCCAAGTAGCTGGGACTACAGGCGCCCGCCACAACGCCTGGCCATTTTTTGGTTGCAGCCGTCATTGTTGTTTGGCGGGCCCGGGCTGGGAATTCGAGCCCACCACCTTAGTGTATGTGGTTGCCTTAGCCGCTTGAGCCACAGGCGCCAAGCCTCTGGATTTATTTTCAAAAACACTAAGATCAGAATTTTCTCCAAGGAAGTCTGACATCATTTTAGAGAAAAAGATAATGTGTGGGTTCTCTTAGTTCAAAGTCTAAAATCTATCTTTAATTCACTGCAGTGGGACTTTGCAAGAAATTTGTGAAGTCTTATTTAAGTTTGAGAAAAGGTAAGGTTCTAAACAGGTGAAGTGATCACTTTTGATTGTTTTGTACCCTTTGAAAATATTTGTATTACCAGAATAATATAATTTCAGGATTGGAAGGTTGTTAGAAGAGACACTTAGTCCCATCTCTTGAAAGTTATCCTATGGGTACATGAGCACATGAGCACTGGAATGAAAGTGTAAGGATGGCATTGTTGGCAACAGTACCAACCATGATAACGGCCGTGAAACAATTAAAGTGTCCATCATGGGTGGTTAAGAGATTATAGTACGTCTATGTATGCAGCTGGTAAAAAGAATTAGGGACAGGTGTCTAGGATGAATCATTAGGCAAATAAGGCAAGCTGTAGAATTCTATATATATCTATGTATCTATATATAATATCTTTGTGTGAAAGAAAAGAATATTTTAAATATGCTTGTTAAATGCTTAGTAGAGTTCTAAAACAACTCCCAAGAAACTGGGTGCCTATTATGTTTCTACTTTTACCTTTTTGAACTATTTGAATGTCTTACTGTTAGCATTGTTTTTCATAATTTAAAAAAGTCACTTCATCTTATACCCTGGTCACTGAAGAATCCCCATCAGGCAGTCATCTCAGCTGTCCCTGAGTATTTCCAGTGACAGAGAACTACTACCTCTTAACTATCAGACACTGTTTTGACCAAGAATCCCCAGACCATAACTACCCTTAGTTTCCACTAAGAAATGAGCCAGGGGCTCTGTGCCTGTAGCTCAAGTGGCTAGGGCACCAGCCACATACACCAGAGCTGGTGGGTTTGAATACAGCCAGCCCACCAAACAACAATGATGAAACTCCAACCAAAATAAATAAATTAATTAATTAAATAAAATAAGAAATGAGCCAGGGACTCAGTGCCCATTGCACAGTGGTTATGGTGCCAGCCACAAGCACTGAGGGTTGCAAGTTTGAACCCGGCCTGGGCCAGCTAAACAACAATGACAACTACAACAAAAAATAGCTGGGTGTTGTGGCGGGCACCTGTAGTTCCAGCTGCTTGGGAGGCTGAGGTAAGAGAATCACTTAAACCCAAGAGTTTG